GACCGTTTCTGGTTCTCTTTCATATTTTTCACCAATAAAAACCGACTCAGAGTTTATCTGACTGGAACGACTCAGTGGGGTTTCTTAGGTAGAAAACTTTTACCCAAGATGTTTGGATGAATTGATTGAATAGATTCTGTAAAGCACATTGAGACTGCACGTTATTTGGAGCTCAGTAAATTAAACTGAATTGAATGTCCTTCCTTAAACCCAAAAAAACAAACCCAAACATCAGCAAACACTTGGAAATGACAACTGAAATAAAGAGGCGGGCTTACCAAAAGCTGTGCTGCGGTTGGTCAGGCCTGAATAAGCATTCCCACTGGGGGAGGAGGTGGCGGGGGATGACAGCGGGCTGTAGGAGGCTGGGTCAGTCTGGTAGTTGTGGCCAGACCCAATACCAAAAGGACTGGACTGGGCTTTAGCTGACTGCGGACCATAAAACACAGATCACTTACTGAGGCAGTACCACTAACAGACAGGGATGCAATCAGAACACTCATCTCAGGAATATCCATCATCTCAGTAAAAATTCCTGAATTTTAGAGACAATCTTAAACATTAAACCACACTAACAATCTAACCAGAAGTAAAACCTTGGACTTTTACTCAATATTTTAACAAACCTGAGTAGAATCATTTTTTGCTTGGCATTTGTTTTTTTGTTACTTAGGTGAAACAAATCCTAGAGGTTCACTCCAGCTTTAATCCTGGATAGTGATTATCACTATCTTTCCCAAAACAGGAAACCTGCATCTGTCTTTTTCCTCTGCTCACGTTCAATCTCCTCTCCAAAGCCTTTGCCAGCATGGCTGACATTAGCCATGGAGCCTGCCGTCCATCGCGACCACACCTGCTGCTTCTCTGTAAGGGGGAGTCACCCTTACAGAGAATTACGATTGGATCCCAGAGGTTCTGATTTCAAGCCCCACTCCCACAGACTGGCACTCTGGGTCCTTGAGCAAGACCCTTAACCCCACACTGCTCCCTGAGAGCCACACAATGGCAGCCCACGGCTCCCCGAGGGGGAGGGGTTCGTAGCTGTGACAGAGTAATGCCAATAAAGTTGAATTCTATTCCACGGTAGATCACACCGATCTAGTTTAGGCTGGTTGGAAGGTCTGTGATAGATTGGCTCTCCATTACATTGAATCATGTGACTGTGTTGAAAATGGCTTTCTTAGGAAAAGAGTGGGGGGGTTTGGCACTAGTCTGTTTTACCAAGAGCTACAGCAGCACTGAAGGTGCGCTAAGAAACCATTAGCGCTCTGTGGGCTCCTTTACAGTAGCTAGGGGTTTGATAAGGCTGCTTTTTGCTCACGCTTTATGCACTTTTAGGGGCGGGGCCAGGGGTGACCAGGGCCACCCTCAGCCAATCATTGGCCACCCCTACCAGTTTTTCCCGGTAACACAGATGGTGGCAGCAGTTTTAAAATGATCTAACTTATTTATCATTTAAATTTTTCATAATGTAACAGTTGCTGGTTAATGATGTTAATCAATAAACTAACATTAAAGATGATAAATCCAGAATTTCTGCTCTTTTCAGAACTAGATTTTGTCTTATGGGGTAAAGAGAAAATCACATCTCTGCAAGTCACCAAGGAGTCTTCAATGAAATCAGAGATAAACAACTAATCTAATAATAATAATCCATTTAATGTAGAAATTAGTCAATATTATGCAGAACAATTACTGATAAAAGTAGGGAAGTAATGTCAATGAATAGGATGTTCGTCCCAGAACTCTAACCTGAAAGAATTTCCTCCTCTACACCTTTAATTTCGACAGCATGGATGTTTAAATACACTATATTGCCAAAAGTATTTGCTCACCCATCCAAATTATTGGAATCAGGTGTTCCAATCACTTCCATGGCCACAGGTGTATAAATTCAAGCACCTAAGCATGCAGACTGTTTTTACAAACATTTGTGAAAGAATGGGTCGCTCTCAGGAGCTCAGTGAATTCCAGCGTGGAACTGTGATAGGATGCCACCTGTGCAACAAATCCAGTCGTGAAATTTCCTCGCTCCTAAATATTCCACAGTCAACTGTCAGCTGTATTATAAGAAAATGGAAGTGTTTGGGAACGACAGTAACTCAGCCACGAAGTGGTAGGCCACGTAAACTGACGGAGCGGGGTCAGCGGATGCTGAAGCGCATAGTGCGAAGAGGTCGCCAACTTTCTGCAGAGTCAATCACTACAGACCTCCAAACTTCATGTGGCCTTCAGATTAGCTCAAGAACAGTGCGCAGAGAGCTTCATGGAATGGGTTTCCATGGTCGAGCAGCTGCATCCAAGCCATACATCACCAAGTGCAATGCAAAGCGTCGGATGCGGTGGTGTAAAGCACGCCGCCACTGGACTCTAGAGCAGTGGAGACGCGTTCTCTGGAGTGACGAATCGCGCTTCTCCATCTGGCAATCTGATGGACGGGTCTGGGTTTGGCGGTTGCCAGGAGAACGGTACTTGTCTGACTGCATTGTGCCAAGTGTAAAGTTTGGTGGAGGGGGGATTATGGTGTGGGGTTGTTTTTCAGGAGCTGGGCTTGGCCCCTTAGTTCCAGTGAAAGGAACTCTGAATGCTTCAGCATACCAAGACATTTTGGACAATTCCATGCTCCCAACTTTGTGGGAACAGTTTGGAGCTGGCCCCTTCCTCTTCCAACATGACTGTGCACCAGTGCACAAAGCAAGGTCCATAAAGACATGGATGACAGAGTCTGGTGTGGATGAACTTGACTGGCCTGCACAGAGTCCTGACCTCAACCCGATAGAACACCTTTGGGATGAATTAGAGCGGAGACTGAGAGCCAGGCCTTCTCGTCCAACATCAGTGTGCGACCTCACAAATGCGCTTCTGGAAGAATGGTCAAAAATTCCCATAAACACACTCCTAAACCTTGTGGACAGCCTTCCCAGAAGAGTTGAAGCTGTTCTAGCTGCAAAGGGTGGACCGACGTCATATTGAACCCTATGGATTAGGAACGGGATGTCACTTAAGCTCATATGTGAGTCAAGGCAGGTGAGCAAATACTTTTGGCAATATAGTGTATATGCGTCTATTTGTTAGCAAAGACTGTAGGAAAGTAGAGTTAGTCTTTAATTAGAAAATATGAATGTTGTGTTTGTTTCTGTAGATTGACCCTGAGGTTCTGGTGCCGATCCGCTTTCAGCCCCCCTCAGTGTGCATTGGTTACTACCTGGACACCATTATTACAATGGTCTGGCTGCACCTCTGTGTACTTTCCCTGGAAGCCCTGCTTTCCAAATATTAGCTAATGATGTTTTAAGTAGAAATCAGCAGTTTCTCAATAAACTGACCAAGTTTTATCTTCTGAGAGGAAGAACTTGTTTTAAACACATCCCAGTGGATCCAAACACTAGTTTAAACTAAATTCTAACTCTTCAAGACAATCTTTGGCTCTTAAACATAAAATCTATGTTGAACTGTGACATCATTGCAACACTTTTTGATAATAGTTTCAGCCATTTTCTTTTCCTCTCTATGTATGACAAAGGTACCATATTTCCCGGACTAAAGCTGCTACTTTTTTCCCAAACTTTGAACTGTGGGGTATGCATAATTAGTTTTAGCTGAGATTCACCAGTTTGACAGGGAGTGTAATTATTTTTTATAAATTGTTATATTTTGAATAGAAGCTGCTGTGAATGTATCTGATATGTGCAGAGAGTTAACTGTGGATTTAACTTGAATCTCAAGCATAGTTTACACAGAATAACAGCTGGCAGATTCACCTGAATGCAGAGTAATAATGTTAAAGCTCTTCATTCAAACAGGCCATGGGTCTAACTTTGAAATGTTTTAATCAGCAAGGCAGGCATAGCTGTAGGATAGACTATAAAGCTGCAAAGTTTTATTTTGACAGGCCGCTCAGAACATGGAGGACTTTATGCAGGATATATACAGCAGTATACCATATAGATACCCAGAGCCATAGCTCTGTTGAACGGTCCGTCATCCGCACATTCTACCCCTTAGATAGAAAACTTTGAATCAATCTGACTGGATGATCTGGTGAACTGGAAAGTGACCTGAGATGACATGATGTGAATTGGAGCTATAGAAATAAACTGAATAGAATTGAATTACATGGTGTTATAGATTTTGTATATCATGTTATAGATATGGTATATCATGTTATAGATATAGAACCCTTTATGTGGCGCTCAGTTAAATACTACAAAATTCAAAATGTTATTGGAGGACAAGGAAAGACCTTATCACCTTTGTAACATTTAGAAAAAGAAATAGCCACTTGGCCTAATATGTTTAAAAAAAGTTATTTCATCAGAAATTAATGAAAAACACTTAGAGTGAAAGAAACTTTGTAACTTATGAACTTTCTACACTAACTTTTTTACAAATCACTCCAGCTTAGTTTAGTTAGCTAAACTTAATTTTCAGTAGGTCCCATATGATCCAAGGGCTTATTGAATTCATCAATGTTAAAATGAGTGTTCTGCCCCCCCCTAGCATGATGTTTACCTGGGTGATTCTCATGAAATCATGAGAAATAGGTGTCACAAAGCATTTTTATGATTAAAGTTTACTCTATAAAAATAAAAAATATATAAATTAAATCACATTTTCATGTACTATATTGCACATAACTCCAAATCACAATACCTTTTACACATTTTGTATTTTTTTTTTTACATTTAATGGTAAATTTTCTCATTACCGCAACGCGTCCAGAACTAAAATTGTGCTGTATAAGATTGAAATATTATTAATTAAAAAGATAAAAAAGAATAAATTTCAGAAAATATCATACTACTAATAAGCACAAATAAAGTACATTGGGTATTTGGTGACTGTTGGTAAAGACAGTGAAAATAATAAGAAAAAGAAATGTGTCCAACACCAACTTTCTCATCCTCTGCAACAATTTTGAATCAGCAATAAAATCAACAAGGAACAAATATTTGCAAGGCATTTTGTTTGAGGGGGACTGAATTGACTGTAACACTCAAGATGTCTACCAGGTAAGCAGCTTTATTTTTCTCTCTCAAGACAAAAGTTAAAACTTTGGTCTTATTGCACCTATGTAACTTTTTAATTCTCATTACCGCAACATGACATTATGAAGTCTTAAAGAATATTTATGCTTTTATTTTTCTGTAATTATATAGCCTATTGTGGTCTAAACATAAACAGCTAAGAAAAGTTTAGCTAACCCTCATGGTGCTCCAATAGCTAGCGATAAAGGTAAAGGTCACTCATCCTCCGCAACACCATTATCATTCACCGCAACTGTTGCGGTAGTGAGACTCAGTGTTTCGGTGGATGAGAATACATTGGAATGAGCTGTTAAAGCCAATGCATCCTGAGAATGAAAGGAAAAAATAAATATAATGTACATATAAAGTCTAAAATAAATATGATATACATTAAAAGGAGCTGCTATAGCTGTTAATTACATTTTAAAATGTAACATTTCAACCTCATTTCACTGTACATCATATTTATTTTACTATGCATTACTATATATGAAATTATATCATATTATATACTATATATTATATTATATTATATTATGTTATATTATGTTATATTACATTATATTATATTATAATATTAAATAGTAGGCCTTCATCATAAAGGATGGGAATGCATAATAACAGCTCAATTCAATATATCATTATTTTTATTGCACATTATTATTTATTAAGTGTAGACCTATGTTATATGTATTATATAATATTATTATTACACATTTGTATTATATTATTGTACATTTTATTCAGATACGGTTTCCCCACCAGATACGGTTTCCCCACCAGTCCTAGCAGGACTCGGTAATCTTCCACATTTATGTACTGTATGGTGGCTTATTTGAAAATTTTTATGAAAATTATTAAATTATGAATATTTAATATTGTTTTTTTTTCTTTTTGTTGGATTAGCGTGTGATAAAGAATAGAATAGAATAGACATTTTGCAGCTAAGCTGCCTGACCAGTCTTTCCATAGAAACAATAATGATGACTTGGTTAAATCTTCTTGCAAAAGTGCAGTCTTTACATGTGCTATCTTGTTACAGGAAAGCATCAGGTGAAAAGAAAAGGGCTTCAGCGCAACAGAGGCTGGCAAAGCATAGGGCAACAGTTTACAGCGATCCAATGTTGCATGAGGAACACAAAAGGAAAGAGAGAGAAAGGTTAGGGGAAAGAGTGATAACAGGGAAAATATACAGTATATGTAATGTATGTTAGGTGGTTTGACAGTTGCACTCACACCCATCCAAAGCCTTGCACTCACAGAGAAATGGAAACATTTCCCAAAGCACACACTCAGAGAGACACACTTGTATGATGTTACCATGCAAACATTCATCTGCTGCACACATTGCCTACACACCCGAACACACAGTTACATCCTCAGCAAATATAGGTATACACACAATTTTGTACATAGTCCATTGATTGAAAGAAATATAGCATGAGCATAAATAAAAGGTCTGTTTTTTTTTTCTTCAAGGTATCAAAAACGTAAGGAAGCTGGTAAACTTAAAACTACTAAAGATCTGACAAGCAAACAGCTCGAAAGAAGAAAGCAACAATGGCGGAAGAACTCACAAAATTATTACAAAAGAAAAAAGCAGCAGCAAGTACTTCTGGACTTGACACCAGAATCCTTTGCCAGTCAGGAGAATATGGAGAATGGAAGTACTGAGAATGATGGAGCACAAAGAGAGGAAGCAGACCCTAATCCTAACAGAACAATGAATTCACCAAAGAAAAAAAATTGTAATAAAATTAACGACGAAATGAAATAAAAGTTCTTTTGCAAATGTTATGTGTTTCTGTTGTTTGACATTATGGTATTACGTGTTCTAAATTTCAAACTGGAATAAGAACCAAATGTTGTGACAGGTCAGGGGCGGGGAACCTGTGTTTCGAGGGCCGTTTGTGACTCTTAAAGGCCGTTTTATCCAGCCCCTGGTATAGTTTTAAGGTTATGCAGCTTCGCATGAAATATGACATTTTTTGTAAAGTAAACTTAGAAAGTACATTTGCAATACAATTAAGTTATATTCAGGGGACCTAGAGAAGCTGGGTTCTGTTTTAAAGCTGGCTGCCTTCGATATAGGCCTAAAGTACAGGGGGAAATCCTGATTTTTGTTCGTAGTAAGGCCCTCGGAGGACTTCTACAGCCCTCGGATTAATGTGAAGTGGCCCCTCGAATGAAAGGGGCTCACCACCCCTGTGATAGGTTAATGAATTGTTTTGAAATATTTGTGTCATTAACATGGCCCTAAATGGGATATTGTCACAGCTTTGTTATGCAATAATTAGAATCATTTTAATTCGCATTGTATATTTTTTTCTTCCACAGAACATGCCATATTGTGTTGAATATGGCTGAGCCGAAAAAAAATTACAGTAATAGATATTTATATTTGTTGAATATTCACAGACTTCATACTCCATGTGCTTGTAATGCCAACATTTACCAGAGATATTAGCTGTTGAATAGGAATCCTTATGGACCTATACAATAATTCTCATCTCTGAAACATTGAAACTCATTTCCGAAACATCATTCTCATTACCGCAACACATAGTTATTTGCAAATTATTGAATTACTACAAACCGCTTTAAGTTTGTAGGGGTACTTAGATAAAATAGAGTGCTCCATACATTATCTCTATAAAATATAAATATATATAAGTATTTTTGCAGTAAGATATCCTAAAAAGACAGACTATAAATCATTAAGTGTGTTGCGGTAATGAGACAAATCATAAAATTTGAATACAATACTTTACTTCAAATATAATAATTCCTGGTTTTTAATACACCTCTTAGCATAACTGTTACTAACATTTATTTAAAAAGTCATAAATGCATAATTTCTAAACATTTTTCTGATGTGATTTTATGTTGCGGTAATGAGAATTTCTTGAGCTCAGGCAGACTAAAACTGCAGTAAAAATTAAGAAGAAATGTACCAAACTGAATAAAAATCGTGTTTCTAGAAACTTAAGACTTCAATCTTGCATTCCAGAAAGAAAATTTGCCTTTAAAAGTCTACATCTGATTTTCGTGAGAATCACCCACCTGTCCTGTGAATGGGGGCCGGTTGCCTGACCATGCCACCTGGCCTGGGTTCAGCTGTCTGGAGATCTGAGCCAGGTTCTGATTGGACGATCCCGAGGACTGGATGTCGTTAACACCAGGAACATGAATTACCGAAGAACTGGGAAGGAAAAAAACCTTGTAAGGGTCTGCTGTGAGGGAGGGAACCCCTGGATGGGCCAACATGGTTGCACCGCACCTGAAGCTCTTTCCAGAGTGGCCCTGCTGAAAAGGAGAGCTCTGGGTGTAGAGGGGCTGTCCTCCCGCCGTGGAGGAAGGAACCATCATCTTCTTGTCTCCCGCTTTGGATAAAAAGCTGCTGTTACACAAAAGCCCATCCAAAGAGTTTTAGCAAACATGTGACTTACAGCCAGATATGCTGGTGTACATCTCAGCAAAGCGTGGATCTCTCTCCTGGGAGAACAGGGTCTCTGTCTTCTCAATGCTTTTCCCAGCATCATGGACGCCACTGCTGACTCCTGCCACAGGTACCTGAAGGGAGAAACACTATTAAGCATTCATCAGTGGATCTGTCCTACTCTCACAGGGAGATAAAGTGATGGAAGCTGTGACAGCAGGGAGGATCTGTGGTATGGTCTGCCTTGAACAGGATCTGGAGGAGCCTCTGACTGCAGTCTGAAGAGGACTATTAAAGTTGTCCATCATCAGGAGCTTCTAGGACAGGCCTGATGCTGTTACCCCAGTAGATGAAGAGGGGCAGCATCTTCCTCCAAACGCTGAAGGACCCAAGCTTCCTGAGGAAGTCATGGCTGCTCTGGTGCTCACTGCAGACTGCACAGTTACTCTTGGTATTTATAATCCTCCACCTCACATTCTACCCCATCCATGTGTCTTCCAAAATATATCATCATCTACTGTTTTTAAAACCACAATTAGATTCATGTTACGGCTCTTTAACCTGAGTCTTCTGTGGGACTGAACTGTGACTGCCTGCTCTAACCCACCCAGCAGAAACTGGCTGAAAAGACGACATGATTTACGTTCAAACGACGTCTACATTTGGTTACTTTCAGATTGTTGAAAACTGGGTTTGAAACGTCTATTATTGGACTAAAGAGGGAAAAAATCAGAGCGACCAATCACAGCCCAATGTTCAATGATGATTTCTGGACTAAATCCAGACTATAACAGACCGACCAGATTTAGCCTAAAAACCAACGACTGAATGAGGTCTGGTGTTTGGGGGGAGGCCCTTCATGTTTAAAGGTGAAGATTCTCAGTCATCCAGGTCAGAGTCATTCCAAACAAGGTAAAATCAATCCACTGGACTTTGTTTCCAAGTTTGAAGACGTTTCTCTTCCATTCAGGAAGCTTTTTCAAATCAAAATGTCAGAAATAGTGTTGAGTTCCAGGTTTTCTACAGTAGCCCAACAAAGCCTTTAGTCCCTTTCAGAGACATAGACAGGTATGGGGCATTACAGGCTAACAAAGAATGCAAACGACCCCCATTCAAAGGGGTGGACCCGTTCATCCGTTTCTATTTGCACGTTTTCTAAGAAAAAACAAGGCTTTGTTGGGCTGCTGGATAAAGGATTGCTTTTAACTTTTTTGACAATGACCTCCATGATAAACGGTGTTAAGACAGCAGGTCTATAGTCACTGAGGACTGCTGGCTGAGTCTTCTTTGGTCCTGGAACAAGGCAGGAGGTCTATAATCACTGAGGACTGCTGGCTGAGTCTCCTTTGATTCTGGAACAAGGCAGGAGGTCTTCCACATCCCTGGAATGTTTGCTCCTTTCTGTCAGGACTTCAGCTCCTTCCTCTTCCTTGGTGAGCCACTGTCAGTCTAACAGCATGGGGTTCATGTTGTCACAGCGCTTCATTTGTGTATATGTCCAAATAAGTAGGTAAATGTGTTTAAAAATATGGTCATCACGCTCACATAAAGTCACCGTTTCTCTGGTCGTTTCACTCACTTGAAGTCACCGTTTCTCTGGTCGTTTCGCTCTCTTAAAGTCACCGTTTCTCTGGTCGTTTCACTCACTTGAAGTCACCGTTTCTCTGGTCGTTTCACTCTCTTAAAGTCACCGTTTCTCTGGTCGTTTCGCTCTCTTAAAGTCACCGTTTCTCTGGTCGTTTCGCTCTCTTAAAGTCACCGTTTCCATGGTTGTTTCGCTCACTTGAAGTCACCGTTTCTCTGGTCGTTTCGCTCTCTTAAAGTCACCGTTTCCATGGTCGTTTCGCTCACTTGAAGTCACCGTTTCTCTGGTCGTTTCGCTCTCTTAAAGTCACCGTTTCTCTGGTCGTTTCGCTCACTTAAAATCACCGTTTCCATGGTCGTTTCGCTCACTTGAAGTCACCGTTTCTCTGGTCGTTTCGCTCTCTTAAAGTCACCGTTTCTCTGGTCGTTTCGCTCACTTAAAATCACCGTTTCCATGGTCGTTTCGCTCACTTGAAGTCACCGTTTCTCTGGTCGTTTCGCTCTCTTAAAGTCACCGTTTCTCTGGTCGTTTCGCTCTCTTAAAGTCACCGTTTCCATGGTCGTTTCGCTCGCTTAAATTCACCGTTTCCATGGTCGTTTCGCTCGCTTAAATTCACCGTTTCCATGGTCGTTTCGCTCGCTTAAATTCACCGTTTCCATGGTCGTTTCGCTCGCTTAAATTCACCGTTTCCATGGTCGTTTCACTCGAGTCATCGTTCAACATTTGAACATTAAACATTAACATTTGGTGCAACCTCTATTTATGAGTTAAACAAACAACCTGTATTTACAAATTCGATCAACCTGCACATAAACACTTCTACTGACAGCTCTCTCACACCACAGCAATCAGTTATACTTAATATCATAGAAAGAGTGAAATCAGGCTTTAAGACCATTTTCTGTTACCACCTTCACAGTTCAGGAGATTTACGGATGTTCTTGTAAGTGATTCTAAAAATCTATAATGTTCCACAACTGATGGAAATCATGAGGATAAAGAGGACCCAAAATGCTGGGAATGAAAATGAATGAAAATGTTCATCTCCAAACACCTTTGACTGAAGGGAAATCCGTCCCATTTCCTGTTGACTGATGGACTATAGGACCGCTTTAAAGGGGATTACCTGGGAGAGATCATACGCTGCGAGACCGTCTCTCTGGTGAACCTCTAACTCTGCCTGCTGCTGCTGCAACTGCCTGAAAAAACAACAATAGATACACATCAGCAGCTTCATACACTGAGGGGCGGAGCTAGAAGATGGCCACGCTTAGCCAAAGGTTAGCCACACCTGTAGCCACCCTCACAGTGTGAGTGTTGAGACTGTCCAGAGGAATTGAAACCATCAATAAGAGATAATTTAATGTGCATTTAGTCACATTTCTTCTAATTTATCTGATATTTCTGCTACAGAAAAGGTGCGATTCAAAGAGTCAGATGGAGAATGATGTTTGGAGGATTTCCTGTACATTTATAGCTGCAGTCTGTCATTTTCAGCAGCATGTGTGGTCAGACTGCAGCAACAAGAGATTTTCTCGTTATGGAACACAATGACCAGGTTCATTTATTTAGATTAAAGCTGCAACTAA